TAGTAAAAAGTTATGACGCCGTACAGGTCACCTCCAACATAGCACTCGTAGATTTTTATTTCTTAGATGGATGGACGGGTTCACCTCTAATCTTCTCAGTCGTTTGCACTCTTGGTAGAGTGGTCGTGGTTATCAGTTCGGGTGGTGGTGTGCTTTATAAGACTTCGCCATTCCTAGCGTAACGCGGCCCCTTCTTCTACAATTGTTGACGGGACATTTTAGAGCTGCCTTTATTTGGTCGGTCCATTATAACGGTGATCTGCGGCGCGGTCTTGTTCCCTCTTCATAGCCTGCACCACAAGGCGCTCCACTTAGTTTAACAGTACAACGACTGCTGCACATTTCAAACCGAAACGAATTACTGCTTTGCGGCAGAAATATGCAGGGTGATGGTACCTAGCAGGCCAGTGAAAAACGCCATACCAAAATTATATATATTTCTTCTGCACAGAGCAATAATGTGGTTTTTATATTATTCCAATGGAATTTTCCGAATTATCGCAAACAAGGCAACGATATGTAGGTACATATGTTATAATACTGTCTTTGGGGCGGTTAATACGTATTACGCCTATTTAATGCGTAAGACGGACAATCGAATTCGGTGCCCGTAATGTTAAGTGATGATTACGTGCTACTCATTCTGAGTCGTCGTGGCCTAAGGGATAAAGACGTCCGGTGCACTCGTGCACCATTGAGCGATGCAACGGTGTTCAAATCCCAAGCGGGCACCAATTTCTCTAATGAAAGACGTACTCGACAAATGTTCACGATTGACTTCCACCGTGAAGGAATAATATCGTGTAATAAAAATCAAACCCGCAAAATTATAATGTGCGTAATTACTGCTGGTAGGACCGCTTGTGAGTCCGCGCGGGAAGGCACCACCACCTTACCCATTTCTGCCGTGAAGCAGTAATGCGTTTCGGTTTGAAGGGTAGGGCAGCCGTTGTAACTATACTTGAGACCTTAGAGCTGATATCTCAAGGTGGGTGGCACATTTACGTTTGTCTATAGGCTCCAGTAACCACTTAACACCAGGTGCACTGTGAGCTCGTCCACCCATTTAAGCAATCTAAATAAAAAAAAGATAAAAGATTGAAATCTCAACCATATTGAAAAACTAACTGTCCTACTGTTTAAGCTATAACTTAAATATAAACACGCCAGAAAGGCCGTTGTCTGCTCATCTTCGCCGATCAACTTCTTTTAATAGCGTTGACCTAATTCGGTTTTGGACGATTTCGATTTTCAGGACTGATTTGGTATTTTGAACCATTTTTATAAACAGTTAAAGCGTTGTTTAATTGAGATTAGAAATCGGCATAGCACGGGCTCATCGACTTAGTACTTAGTGATGTTTTATATTGTGCACTTTTCGTAAGTAGGGTAGACTAATGGCTGAGACGCTTGGTTGTAGCTGTTGTTTTAAAATTAACGCTTCATGATTCAAGTTGGGTGGTGGTATTCACATACTAAATATCATAGGTCCCGACCATTTGACACGAGGTTAGCAGTGTACAAAGACGCGCAAATTAAAAAAATGTTGAATTCAGATTCGGCTTTTAATATAATTCCTTTTTTTCGCTAATCGCCTTTTTTATTTTAGTATTATTTCGTCACATAGCTCCAGAAAGTTGAAAAAGACTATTATTAATTTTAGTCAAACAGAGTCCCAACCATGTTAAGTATTGAGTTAAATTTAAGGTACTGCCGTATGATTCATTACATATCGTCTTTTCGTATTAAAACTGTATAATCTCAAAACTTACTAATTTTACAGGAGAGTGTTTTAAGGGCTTGACATGTGATATTTTGATACTAATCATCTTTGCAACATTTATTTTTTATTTTTTACCAGTTACATTATCTGTCTTTTAAAGTAAGACAAAATGATGTGTGAATTTTGTTAATAGTAGGTAGTCAAAACATAGGTGAACTAAAAAACAAAAAAAAACTAAAACGCTCTATTGACAGTATTTATGAGAAAAATACTGATGATACCAAATTATTCCGCATATTAAATCAATTTTGAATATTTTTGGAAATTGTACACTTTTTTAATGCGAAAAGACGATATGTTGTAAATAATTAGAAGATATTAGTTATCAGTGCTGTCAAATGTAAATGATTACCGTGACCTCTGTTTATCAGTTATCGGAAGATACACCTTCCTGTCGTTCTAATATTAAGTATCAGTTACAGGATGACGTAGTACATGATAATAGCGTTGGTGACGTGCTTTATTTTAGGGATCATTATTCAATATGTACCTACTTCGACATCATATTATACCCAATACTTTAGACAAATTTACATTCGCAGTCTATTGTTTAAATGAGTCGTCTATTATCAAAGGTGGCAATCTGTGCATTTGGACAAAAAAATGTTATTGATATGTCAATACAGATTCATTTGAATATAATCGTCTCCTTCAAAGAATACGGTTCAAAACCTGCATTAAATAAAGGTTAATACTTAACCTGTTATTTATCTAAGATGTCGTTCAGAAAAGTTTTGTGACTGCCAATGGAATACAAAGTCAATAATTCGTTTTTCTGATTTACCAATATTGTTCAAAAGTCAGATTGCCGGCTTTGATAATAGACGACTCAAATACAAGGTTTTACAATGAGATTTATTAGGATGCGATCGTTGTAAAAGGTAGCGGTGCTTTGACTGACATGTTGATGCAGCAGTTGGCATTTCTCATTGTTAGGCCAATAGTCGGTCCGATACACATTCGTCTGACATTCATATTTGTAAGTACATTCGTATTTTGTTCTGTATCTGAGCATGTAATATACATCTATATATGTAATAAAGTATGCATGTGTGTATACATTTTCACCTAAAACTCTTTTTTAATTTTCCTACCTATGCTGATAGCCTTGGGAGGGTATATCAGCGTTACCCTAGGGCAGCGATCGGGGAATCGGGGTAAATTACCCCAAATGGGGTAAAATGAAGTTTTGAGGAGTAAAAATGAAACTTTTGTGAGTTAAAAGTATATATTGAAGTGAAACTTCTTTAGAATCGTTGTGATTTCAAACTCGATGAAACGAAATGAAACGAAAGGAAAAAATGTTTTTTTTTTTCAAATTCAAAATTATCATGTGGGCTATAATATGAAAGATGCTAAAAAGAAGCGATTTCGTTTTTTTTTGTTCCTCGCCATGGGGTAATATCAATTTACACAAAAATATGTTGGGGTCATAATTAAAAAAGTTCCCCGACCACTGCCCTAGGGTGTAGGTGAGCTCACGGGGCTCGAACCGGGAGCGTTCCTAACACTGGCCCTAGCAAGGGCAGTGCTTCACAGAATCTACCATCGGATCGGAAATGAAACTTAGTCGGCTGTGTCTGTCTGTTAACTAAAAACTAATACTCGATATCCGTTAGCCCTATCGGAAACTTTGTACACAAATAATGGATGACATCACCACTTTCGCGAAAATAGTTACGTTATTCCAGGATAGGTGGCGCTGGCACAAATGATTTGTAAACTTTGAAAATTATTGCTTTTCACATGGTCATTTGTACGTCGACAAGTTAATCTGTTTTTGCTCAAAATGGTAAAACTAAAATTATTTTATACAAAAGTGTTATAGAAAGTGTTAGAATAACAAAAATCATAAACAATAAAATAATGTGTCATAATAACTATGTCTTATTATTTATTTCAGGCGAACATTCGACGCTTGAAAGGCAAACATGACTAAGCGACAATAACTGCATTGTACATAAATGATGGCAATAACCATAATCGGTGCGCAAAAAAAATAATATTTCTAGGTCTATTAAAATCATTTCAATCCTACAGCTACTAGCTAGATTCTACTACAGCTAGATTCGTTAAAATAAATTTTGTTTTCAGGTAATTCAACTTTAAGTTAGTCTACTGTAAAGTTCACGCATTGTCACTTAGTCATGTTTGCCTTTCAAGCGTCGAATTGTAAATTCGAGATGGATGATTACGTTTTACTTATTTCTCTAATGGGTAGAACGAACTCACAATCCACATTGTGTTAAGTGGTTACTCGAGGACGTGGACATTACAACAAGATATAAAATTAAAATTACACTTTGGGAAACGAGGTTTCAATCTCAGTTACATAAAGCCGCTTTCAGACTACGCTATAATATAATAGCATATAGTATATAGCAGAACAATATCGCACACCATACATTGTTATGGACACGTCCACACTGTACTGTACCATATACATATTATTGGATACGCACAGGCTGTTATACTATATAGCACTATAGTATAGCGTAGTCTGAAAGCAGCTTTATAAAAAGGCTGTCTTATCCCTCAAAATATAACATATGATTACGTCACGGCAGGAATAGGCAGCATTAGGAACCATTTTGGTACACACCCTTGAGAGAACACAATACGTCAGTAATCAAATGTCTTTCTTTTCGTACATGGCTTTTAAATAATGGTATGAAAAGTATACAAACTTTAGGAAAAACAACCCAGTTCCAATTTAGTACATACATCATACATGATAGCTAGTTGGGCGTACATTCTTAGTTAACTGAAAAAAAAAATGTCGTTGTTAGGAGAGAAACTCATGGCCAAAACTAAAAACAAAAAGACTTAGAAAGAAAAGATCCGATCCGATTCCGATCTTTTTTAGGTCTAGTCCAGAATTTGTTCCGTTTTTGTTTAATTATTTAGATATTAGTGGCACTAGTTTAAAAGAACTTGACTTTAAAAAAAATATAAATTTTATTATGTATAATTTATAATCATTTTGCAAAGCAAGTACCTACCTACCGTAGGTACATTATAAAACGGCAAAATGCATTATTTTATTAGACAGCAAAACTGTCTATTTGAAAGGATATCCGGCCATTAGAGGGAAAACAATAAATCTTAGCTAGCCACCGATGAAAGATAGCGCGGGGAGAGAGGGTCACGAGTATGCGTACAGGACTGAATGTGGGTGCTGTCGGGTGCAAGAAGCAGATCAATAGGCGGGCGACCAAGGCAGGGGTGGAGAGCGCGGTGCGGTGCGCGGCGCATCGTTAAACCACTCTCGACCCGTTCGCAGCCCCGGCATCACGCTCCAACGACCCATCTTACCCGATAGTTGACATAATATCCATCAAGTAGCGCTCTCCGCTGAACATCATGGAGGTGAGTTCAACTTTCTTTCGTTTCGTCAATATTTCTCCAATTAGTAACACGATGTTATCAGAATCGCCATTGAAATTTTTATTCGGTGCTTAATCATTTTAACATTTCTTTATTCGATGATTTATATTAAATAAATTCAATTGTTGAAATGTGAAATGTGTAGGTATTCGGATATTTTTAAAACGCACTCATCACTATAATGCGTCATAATGCGTTGATAATTTATTTCATGTATTTCTATATCGATCTTGTATTATTTATTACAAACAAAATTGCTTTATGACGCTCGTAAGTAGATCTAAAACAGAAGAAAAAAACATATCTTTTTTGATTCATGTTATAAATACAGTGGGAACAATTGGGCTTTATTGGGCAAGTTAATGTTAGTTTGATGCGGTCGACATATTAGTCTGTACAGTCAGTAAAATAACAACATATTAAGAGAAGCACAGCTTATTTTTCTCTTGTATGGGATTACCCCATCTGGTTCAAGCCATACCGGATGCCGAATAGCGACGAGATTGGACGGAGTTTTTTGTTTCAAAGGACTTTTGACAACGCAACAGAGATCCCCCTTAGATTAAATTGTCGAAGCATTGTGAAGTATTTTTTTATGAGAATGAATTTGTTAAGTTTTTTTTTTAATTATTAGGCATAGGATTATAGTAAAGCTTGAAAAAAGTTATCCTATTCAATTTCGAAAGCAAAACCTGTAACTAAACACAGTGGTTTTTTTTTGCACCACAATGTTTTAAGTACAAAACTGAAGTTTTTCTATGGGACAGCTTTTACGAATCTTGTTGAAAAAAAAACAGCCTTGAATGGAAAAAGACAACAAATAAAAATTCATAAATGCACCAAAGTGCCTACCATATCTAGTAAAGTACAATAATTGGGAGCACTATTTGATCCCATGCACCCACTGTATGAAACGCATTGGATGTTTGTAGAACCATCAACCAAGCACATATCTGTTTTGCTTATACATATTGTCTATTTCTGTCTGCTTAAAATTTTTGTGTTATTTTTTAATTCAGTTACCGTCTTAACTTATTGTTAACTAATTAAACTATTGTAACATACTGAAACGTATGTAAGCATATATACATTTATGTAAACGTACCTACATGAAATTAAATATCAATACAATTAAAATGTAAAAAATCCTTAGTTCTTCTTCTGTATCGAGAATTTTAGAAAATAAAACAGATTGTAATCCAGACACCGCTATTGTCTATTGTCTTATTGACATTATTATGTAGATACATTATTAGTCTGTCAGCGACGAGCCAATAAGGGGATAATAAGAATATGGAATTTTTTACAGGTTACATGTGAAAATCATGTATACTTATGATGAATTGTGGTTGTTTTTTTTTGTAATCTACTAATTGATTGCGGATCAGCTTATCTATGATATCTATGATATCGACAATTATTTAGTAAAGAAACCCATTTGCAGAAGTGGCTCGCGCCCCTTCATACCCCATCCTGCGGACCGAATGGTAAACAGTCGACATGGCCCTAAACATGTGATTTTGGATCCTCCCGATCCATTAACGGTGCTTCTAGATACCTCAAGCACCGGTCACTGTTCTCGTCGAACCCATCGCTTGCGAAGAAGGGTTCGGCGAGTAAACTAACCCACAGACACAGCCCACTGAGTTTCTCGCCGGATCGTCTCGGTGGGTCGCGTGGTAGATTCTACGAAGCACTGCTCTCGCTAGGGCCAGTGTTAGCATCGTTACTAGATTAGAGCCCTGTGAGCTCACCGACTCGTTCGGTGAATCTAATATAACCCCTTGAGGTTACTAGAGTAGGTAAAAAACAAAAACGCCCCCTCTTTACTGCGTTGATGGCATTTTATAAATTTATAGTTTTATTCTAAAAATATACTCATATCTTAAATAAAATATATCGAAACGCGATGTCCTTTGTTATACCTTAAATTCATAAGCTCTCCGCCAAAGAAGATCAATTTGTTTGTAAAAACCAGATAAAATTATTTGAAATAAAATGTTTTCTTAATTACTTAGGCATTATGATTAATGTATAATAAAACTTATTATTATGTTTATACAAAACATCCATTATCGCGCAGATAATTAGACCCACGAGTTAAATTTAGCAGAAGTGCTGTCACGAACAGAAATAATTGAAGTCATTGACTTTAATAGTTATCTCTTTAGCACACTCCATATTTAGCTGGTTGTTTTCTTTATTTTAGAGACAACTTTTATTCTTTTTGAACTAGACATCGAAGTGTTATATACCTAGTTGAAGATTGATTTTTTATTTTTATTTTTTATTTTTTTTATTGCCTCTGTAGGCAGACGAGCGTACGGCCCACCTGATGGTAAGTGGTTACCGTCGCCCATGGACTTCAGCAACGCCAGGAGCAGAGCCAAGCCGCTGCCTACTGTATTATTAGTATTATAATTAATTATGAAGTAAAGTAAAAATAAATCTGTTTATCTTCCCATAAAAACATGTTAGAACATGAAAACATAAACATACAATTATAATTTCATTCATTGATTTTATATTTGGATTTTTTGTTCAGTATTGTTTTCATTAACACACATCGAACAGAATATATTATGTATAATGTGCTCGTATTTAAAACTTAAACATAACTGTCAATAATTTTGTCAAGATAATTAAACAAAAGGCATGAAAAATATGCATAACCGAAATACAAACAGCAGTACTGATACTGAGATATTTTTTTTAAGGTTTCGTTGTTTTGTGTATATTGTTTAAATTATTTATTTTGACAACAAACACGGACACAGTTCGTTCATTCCAAATGAATCATATCAACATATTTATTTGTTTACAAATTAAATATATAATGAACAGTGAGTAGTACTTCATGGATTTACTGAATAAAAACATATTATATTATCGATGTGGTTGTGGTTTTTCTTATTTTCTATTATATTTCGCCATAATATGACTGCAAGGTAGAAATCATTTAATCTGTGTTTTTGTGTTTCAAATGTTTTCATGGTATTTGTTATTTCAATTACTTTCAATTGTTTTCATGGTATATTATTTACTTTGATACGGAACGGAAAATTATACTCTACTGCTAGGTACTCTCTTCTATAACTACAGTGGTTTGATTTCGAACTACTTTTACAGAAGTTATACACAAGTGTCGAACTATTTATTTTGGACGGAGGGTTTGCTAGGGGGCATGCCTTTCCAGAGGGGTGGGATTTGGTAACAGCCGCCCGAGTGCCTCCGAAGGAGACTTGACTGCTTAAGAGCAGCTGCTTCAACTAATCAATAAGTCAGGAAAACAACATTAGGGAAGAAAACTTATGACAACCACGCGAATTTTTCAAAACGGTCCTCTTCAATGTGGTGCGACGCGAATTATTTTCTCACTAATGCGAATTTTTTCCTAATTTTGTGGTTGAAATATAACTTAACTTAGTCGCTAGTATTAACTACGCAGAAACTAAAAAATATTTCAGGCTGTGTCATTTTGATTAAAATTTGTAACCTTCACGGTTATAAATAAGAATCAAAACCCACCTTAAGATAATATTATAATTTATCAAAATTAGGTTTTTTTTTCTTCTTTTTTCTTTATTGCTTAGTTGGGTGGACGAGCTCACAGCCCACCTGGTGTTAAGTGGTTACTGGAGCCCATAGACATCTACAACGTAAATGCGCCATCCACTTTGAGACATACGTTCAAAGGTCTTTATGTAGTTACAACGGCTGCTCCACCCTTCAAAATGAAACGCATTACTGCTTCACGGCAGAAATAGGCAGGGCGGTAGTACCTACCCGTGCGGATTCACAAGAGGTCCTACCACCAGTAAAACGAGTATATATGATATTTGGTTCCTCTGTTCAATAATATTATTTTAATTATAAACCAATCTTTTGGACAGTACAAGGGTAGGTATATAATTTTTAAAAGATTCATGCAATGCATGAAAAAGGTTCTTACACAAAAATAAAAAAAAAATTGTTTATTTAAAAAAAATGTTTATTTATTTATTATAGTTTTTAAATATTAAATGAACTTTTGGCGAGAACGCAAGAAGAGAAGTTGTTTTATTTTGTTAATTTAGTGTCACATTAGCACTTTTTTCTGTGTGAAATGTCTGTTTCTGTATTCATGAGTTTATAAAAATTTAATGACGGTTGAACAGTTAAGACATGAAAGCGTAATAAATAAAGAAAAACATTTTATTACACGCAGCTATACAGACGGAGTTTTTTTTTAGTTTTTTTTAATTATTTTACTTTTTTTATTATTATTTATACCTATATTAGAAATTTCTAACTTTAGGTAGGTACCTTGTGTCTTCGTTTTCGAGACATAATATAAATACTCCTCTCCCCCTGTATTTTACTGACAAGTATGTAAGGTGTTCTGATTGATAATTCTCTATTTTCTATAGCTCAAGTACTGGTGGTGGATGATGGCAGGACTGGCCCTCTTATCGGTAGCGGTAGTTGCCGCAGATGGCGAGGTGTGGGAGGAGAATGACCATGAAGTTCTCATTCGAAGCGCAAGAGGCGCAAAAAATAGAGGTATGTGTTTCCGTATTTATCGCTCAGACACAGCCCACTGAGTTTCTGATCGGATCTTCTCAGTGGGTCGCGTTTCCGATCCGGTGGTAGATTCTGCAAAGCGCGGCACTTGCTAGGGCTAGTGTTAGCAACGTCGTCAGGTTTGAGCCCCGTGAGCTCACCTACTAGTTAAGGTTACGCTGAAATAGCCTCTCAAGGCTCTCAGCTTAGGTAGGAAAAAAAAGGTATTTATCAAAAGCAGCTCATGCTTGCTGCATTTGTGATAAAAAAATCAAGTTGGTCATCTTGTCGGTCATCACTTATTTAATACTTAATTAGATGAAATATCAAAATGGATGAAATGAAATTACCAAACAGTGTTCGAAGCGTCTCCTGTTTCGAGCGATTCCAAAAATAAACCTTTGTGGAAGACTAAAGCTTCTCCACTTTATTGGTTTTTTAATACTTTCTGGAATAAACAGCTTTATGGTAGTCAACTTAAGGTTGAAAATTATAATCATATTGCCAACTATTTCTTATATCGAAATACTCGTTTAAAAATAAACAAGGAGATAAGTTAAATGTCTTAACACTCTAGTTTTACCGATTTCAATCATGTTCATGAATTTTCATTTTATAGTAAAATCGATTGATTCTGCAATCTTCCTATGTGGAAGGTACCGTAACCCTCTCATCAGAAGTTCAAGACTGGAATGACATATATTGAAAAACGCTTTTATATCCATTTGTGTATAAACTTTATCCCTAGGATCTCGAACCATGATCATTATAAATGAGGAAATTTCGTTCGAAACTGATCGCACAAAGAATATGCAGATTTTCAGTATGAAAATTTAGAAACAGTCGTATCTTATGTCTTAAATAGAGAATTACTTTGAGAGCTAACAGTGTTAAATTGTATTTCTAACGAAATGATTTTCACAGAGGCATGTCGATATGTGCGCGGTGCTTGGAGCGAATGTGACTCCAAAACGAATATCCGCTCAAGGAAGTTGACTCTGAAAAAGGGCGATCCGGCTAACTGTGAAGTTGTTAAAACCATCCAGAAAAAGTGCAAGAGAAGTATACACTTTATTGATTTTAGAATAAAATCAGCCAGCACGCGTTTAGATAGAAAGAATCTAAGATATGTTGCCTTATGACATTTTTAACGACACGTGTCCTGTTCTCAAAAACAAACTAGTATCCAAGTTCCTTTGTTTATAATTGATGAGACAATGTTAAGTAGCTAACTCTTTTTTTATGTTCTTTTCAATTTTTTTTTTATGTTGTACTGTTAACATTTAAATTTAACCTATTTTTCCGCTGTTTGTTTGTAAAATTGCTGTAACATTTTCTGAACATGCCTGTAACTGGCTTACACACCAGTACTTAATTTTATACATGTTAATTTTAAGCTTGAATGTTTTATGTGCATTACTGTTGGTGTGTCTAAATAAATAAATAAATGATCTCATGTCGCAAGGTGGGCAGATTTTACTTATCGATGTACTTCGGTAATCACGTAATGGTTGCCCAATATGTCATTTAAAAAAAGGCACTTAGAATTCAATTAACTTCAATTTCTTTTGTGTAGGTTACATTTCCTTTTAAATACTCTATATTAATAATCAAAGTTCATGTGTAACTCATGTGTCACAGCTTGCCGCTATGAAAAGTCATCTTGGAGCGAATGCAGCATCAATGGGGAGATGTCCAGGACCGATAAGCTAAAGTCCAACAGCGATTCGACTTGCGACCAAAGTAGGCGCAAAACTCGGAAATGTAACAAGAATAAGCAAGTCAAGCTTGCTAAAGATAAGGGTACAGTGAAAAAGAAACTCCATTAGCGGATTACTTAAAGTCCATTTTTCTTGTGATTCATTAGTATTTTTGTTTCGCAGGTCGCAGAAATCGCCAGTAAGGACATGGGCTGCTTTGAAAATTTTACGATAATTATTAATGAACAATGTTTATTCGTTGATTCTCATTTATATCTAAGCCTAGTGCCAAGTAGTTATATAGCTAAATATGAGATTTCTTTTAATCTTTCAATGAAGCAGTAACTTTTACACTAGTTACAATTTTTATTACAAAATCAATTTATCTCAATACTATTGGTATTGTATTAATGTTAGAACTTTTTAGTAGAATATATGTTTTATTAATTGTGGTAAGTTAAATCTTTGATAATAAGATAATAAAATAAGTACTTAAAATGTTGTTTTATTTCAATCGTAATAAGTCAAATTGCTTTATCCCAAACCTTGCTCACAGTGAATCCGAGCTACTAAACTAAATTCTGACTTTTGAAGTATCCGTGGTTCATTGGACAGGCCACACGATGTTACTCGTTTCATAGCTGGCGATTGTGCCGTGGTTATAATCCTTAGGCAGACATTAAAACTTCCAGGTAATACATATTCAACACTGGCTCTCAAACGATCGATAATGATCGATAACGAACGATTTGAAGTCGTCGTGGCCTAAAGGACAAGACGTCCGGTGCATTCGTATCTAGCGATGCAACGGTGTTCGAATCCCAGATGGCTGCCAATTTTTCTAATGAAATACGTACTTAATAAATGTTCACGATTGACTTCCACTGTGAAGGAATAACATCGTGTAATAAAAATCAAAGCCGCAAAATTATAATTTGCGAAATTACTGATGGTAGGATCTCTTGTGAGTCCGCACGGATAGGTACCAACACCCCGCCTATTTCTGCCGCGCAGAGTAGTAGCAGTAATGCTTTTCGGTTTGAAGGGTGGGGTAGCCGTTGTAACTATACTGAGACCTTAGAACTTATATCTTAACGTGGGTGGTGCATTTACGTTGTAGATGTCTATGGGCTCCAGTAACCACTTAACTGGTGGTGGTATATTTTGCGAAGCACTGCTCTTGCTAAGGCTTAATGTTGACAACGACGTCTGGATTGAGTCCCATGAGCTCACCTAGGTACTATTTCGGTGAAACTAGAATAACCCATCGAGGTTACTAGAAAAGGTAGAAAAAAAAAGTGCGAGTAAAGTTTCGTATTTTGTACGAAAACTTTAAGTTAAGCTATGTTGATTGGCCGAACTATGTGAAGCTAAGGTAATGTAATATAGTAATAGATTGTTACATGAGTTAACAGGTAAACCTCACCCACATCCCTTGGGGTACCCCTCTGTCATCTTTTAGTGTCAAACGGAACTACTTAGTAGACTTAACTTAATTTCGCTTGATTCTAGGAATGGATGATCGCATGAAAAGAATTCACAGTTTCTAGGAATTCACAGGGCTTCTAGTCTAGCTTCACTATAGATTAGATCTTTATCTGCCAAGTCTTTCAAGATGGTTGGCAGTGACCTAATGTCATAGACTTAGTACCCAGTTAACGCCAGCTGGGCCGTTAGCTCGAATACCTTGATAATATTAGTATTACATGCGGCTGTGGTTCTACAATTAACACCAGTAACTGCGATTAAAATTTATATATTGTGACTTCCATTAAGTAACAAAATGAATGAAGTTCCAAGTGAATGAATGAATCTACCACCGGATCGGAATCGCGACACACTGAAAAGATCCGGCGAGAAACTCAGTGGGCAGTGTTCATGGGTTGGTTCGCTCGTGAAACTCTTCGTCGTACTTAATCGACGAGTTCGACGAGAACGGTAACCGGTGCTTATGGTACCTAAAAGCACCGTGAGTGGATCGGGAGGATCCGAAATGACGTGCTTTGGGCAACGTTGACTGCTTTCCATTCTGTCCGCAGGATCGGGAATGTAGTTACCGGCAGCCACTATGAGAGGGTTCTCGTGTCGTGCCGCTTTATCGAAGTGGATGCATTGCCCCGTCGCGGTCGGATAAGTAATTAGCCGCGGCCACGATAAGAGGGTTTTCGTGTCGCGTTGCTTTGTCAAAGTAGCGTTCATACGCTTCCTTAAGATATTTACATATCGGTATTAAATTTAGGTCGTCGTGAAGGTCTACATTTCTCACATACCACGATGCTCCGACGACTATCCTGCAGAGACGTGGTTGGATGACCCGGAGAGAGCTGATGTGTGTACGGGTCGCATGAGCGAACACTACATTTGCATAGGTCAAGACAAAACGTATGTAAGTTTTGTAGAGTGTCACCTTATAATGAATGGACAATTTACTTCGCTTGCACATCATGGGGTAGTGTCGACCGAGTAGGAACGCAGCTCGGTCGCGTGACTTAATTTGGGGCCCAAACGTCATCCCCCTGTCGAGAGTAAGCCTAATTTATTGAAGTGAAACTTCCTTATCGGCGTTGGAAAAAAATTTACCGTCACATTTTTCGGTTACGCGTCACTTTTTTCCGTTACGCGCCATCTGTTTTGTATTCATGTCTATGATAATAAAATCCTTTTGTTTAAACTTTATCTAATTTAACTTTTTTGTATTCATGTCTATGATAATAAAATCCTTTTGTTTAAACTTTATCTAATTTAACTTTATTTAACCAATTTCTAGAAAGTTGCATGTAGATCATTTTTCGAAAAATAAGGCCATAAACAAGTTTCACTTCTTACGTGTGTACACTAGTACACGCACACATTTTTTTTTAATTGCCTCTGTGTACGAGCATACGGCCCACCTGGTGGTGAGTGGTTACCGTCGCCCATGGACTTCAGCAATGCCATGGGCAGAGCCAAGCCGCTGCCTACTGAAAGTAAGTAAGTAAGCCTTCGAAGCGCACGTTATCGACTGGCCAAAGATTTAAAGACGGGAATGGAATTACCGCGCCTAATTGGTGATGAGATACTCGCTGTAGTGTCGGGACGGGCCACCCCTTTTGAAGAGCACGGCTGTGTTTTTCGTGGGTTTGATGTCAATCCGCCACTTCCGGAACCACTGTCCTAAATTGGCGGCCGCGATCTGGAGTTTACTGTGCACGAACGACATCTTCCTGCTCGAGTAGTAGATAGTTGTATCATCCGCGAAAAGGGCTAAGTGAGTCACCGGCGACCGGGGTATATAAGCATAAATAAAATAAAATAAGCAGATTAAAAAGTAGCGGGGAGAGAAGGTGGCCTTGCGGGACTCCGGCCGAGAAATGCCGCGGGAGAGCGCGAGCTCCCTCGACTCGATACCGAAACGAGTGGTTCGATAAGAAGTCTAGTATGATGAGCACGAGACTGTCACCATCTGTATTACACCTGTATTGAAAAATACACCTGTATTTTTCGTGCTAAATCCGTTTGTTTACACAACCAAAACTCAAGTGATGCTCGGGACCTTCTATCTGGGTAATACCCGTAAATTTTGTCAGCCGTACACTGTAAGCTTACTAAAATATCAAATATTATGCATATCTTAGAAAACCATTATTATTCCCCTTGTCTTTCCGCTTCGGAAATGATTGTTACTTACATCCCGAAAGAAGTAGTTACATAATTCCTGGATATGCAGAGCTAAAGATCCTGATTTTCGTAGGATATTAAAAAACACTATATTCATTGCAATTTCTATATTTTATTATTTAAAACAAGATAATGTTTTTGAACCTCATTCAATTTTTCGTTTAAAATATAATTGCACCTATATTTATACGTCTCCCGTTTTTGAATGAGATCCAAATCCATTCGTTTACAAATATTTCATATACACGTGAATTAAATAAATAATTTAAGGCCTTATCTACAATTAATAAATAATATTGATACAAAAAAAAAAAAATTATCGTATTTTAAAACTTTATAATGACAATATTCGAGATGGTCTCAACGTTAATGTAAAATATCTAGTGTTTACTATCCGCCAACTATGAACAAGTCGTTAAATATCACAGGTTATATAAAAGCGCGGAGCTGACTTCGTCTCACTTAAATAGCTGTTTAGCGTAGTGCCATATTCTAAAGAAGTATTCGTCGCGACGTAGCAGGGAACCGCGCGCGTACGATCGTATATCAGCATCCATGTTGTGCTCCCGCAGCCACGAAGTCGTGGTCTGAGTACTGAACGATGTTGGCTCCGTGACCTCAGTCTGTTCGCCTGGCTCCTCGTCGGCATGGGAACCTTTCAATTAATATTTACACACATTAATATTTACAGAAACGTATCTATGTAGCATATAATTTAATATCGAGCAGTTCGATTGTAGTGTTTTAAAATTCACAAACGAACAGTTTAATTATACTTTTTTACTGGTGGTAGGACCTCTTGTGAGTCCGCACGGGTAGGTACCACCACCCTGCCTTTTTCTACCGCGAAGCAGTAATGCGTTTCGGTTTGAAGGGTGGGGCAGCCGTTGTAACTATACTGAGACCTTAGAACAAGGTAATATAGGTATATCTCAAGGTGGGTGGCGCATTTACGTTGTAGACGTCTATGGTCTCTAGTAACCACTTAACACTAGGTAGGCTGTGAGCTCGTCCACCCTTCTAAGCAATAAAAAAAAACAAATTGGTTTTAGTGGGGAGCATTCCTGTTTTAGAGTTTATGTACGTATAAGCTTTGATATCCAACTATTTAACGGTAGGTAAGTGAGTCATGAATTCGTCTCTACTAAGTCGAAATAAAAGTTACTGTACCTTCTCCTGGTATAACTTTAAAGGGTTCATCTGACTCCAGGGGCTCGCTGAGACCAATCTCATTTCGTGCGTAGATTCTGATCATGTAGGTGTGGTTTTCGCTCAAATCTCTAATGTTGAATTTAAGCGTGTTGACATCGACTTTTCCAACTTCCATCCACATTGTTTTTGTAACATCCCTGATAGCGATGTTGTAACCGAGAAGTGGAGCCCCACCATCCCATTCTGGTGTACCCCATGAAGTCATAACGATGTTGCTACCAACCATTCTTATTTCAAGAGGAGCCGTCGGCGGCGATGGCACAGCTGAACAAAAGAACAAATAGGTTTGGGATGTGTAAGCTTGCTTTTTGTTTATTATACATTAAAAACACCTAAATATTATAGTGAATATGGACTATTAAACAGGCTCTAAGGACCACTTTAAATATATTTTTTCGTAATATCCATGTATACAAGGTATGCCTTACGTTACGTATGTTTTTCTTGTGATTGTACTCTGTGTTGTGTTATAAATAAAATAAAATTTGTTTATAAACTAAATGTGTATTCTTTTCGAGAGTGTGATATACAGGGTATAATAGCTTTGTGTTAAATTAAGATATGGTTTTTTTTAAATAAGGCGAAACTGTCTGTGAAGTATAATGTGTCTGTGAAGTATAATTAAAAAACTAATTGAAATCTATATACAGTAGTTTTTGTATGATGCGCGGAGAATGTGTCTCGTTTTATTTATACATATCAATGGTAAAAAGCACCTACACAGAAACTAAAAAATCACTGTAACATTTCTTATATAATTTAATTTATGTATTCGCATATGCTGTAGATAAGCTAGTTAACAAACATTGTTACACTATTGTTATTCCAGTACGAGTAACGCCAGTTGTCGTCAAATAGCAGAAAAAAAATATCAAAATATCTTCTCCGTCCAGGATGACCAATCCCTCCCAATGTGCGCAATAAATTTTTTGCAGTTGAGTTCATAAGCACAGAATCGCTCCATTTCGGTGCACTAGCATTAACCCACTCTAGGATCGGCTTGATATCAGCATCATTTTCCTGGGGTTGCTGAAAAGAAGCCCTTCCATTCATCGCTAACATCCGTTCTCAGATATACTCTCTACTCTCTGATATACCGTTAACCTCGCCTTTGATCTCCCATCACGGGCTTGTGAGATGGAAATCGTTGGGGCTCTTCAACTACCAGCCAGCACCTGTCCCGCAACCCTGGACATTTACTCGTTTCCCTGTTGCAGCTGGGCGGCATTGGTCGCAACTTTACTTCCGAGTTTCATGTTATGCTGTACCCCTCATCGGGCAACTCAACCGGAGCTTGAGCTCAATCACTATTCCAGTTTATATCTCATCCACGGTCTTCCTCACATTAGCCAACTGAACCACAGCTTTTATAATCCAGTTCTCGTGCTGTTGCACCTACTCTTTCATCTTTGTCAGGTTTTTCTAATTGTATCTGTCTAGTCCTTTATGAGGAGCATCTGTTCATACAGGCTTCGGAACTGCTCCTCTCTTTTCCACAGCAGGTGTTACTCCAGCCGACGAGCCTGATCCTTTAAACGGCGAGATTTTCCTTCTAGTCGCGAGCCTATTCTTGCTGGCGCCGTGACTTTTCTTATAAAAACGTCATCATGGCATCATCAAGGTTAGGAGTTACCATTGCCGGAAAACATCAAATGTATGATTGAATTCACTGCCGCTAGTTCGCTCTGCTATTCCTCGGTCTGCGTTCCAGAACCTTCAAACTACCTTTTGTCCAACTCTTGCTGCCGCTTACCTCGATAATACTAGTCGTTTTGATATTCGTTTTTTTTTCTATTTCACAACAGATGGCGTTACACGTAACCGCACAGTTTAGGATTGGTATAATATCTGAAATTGCTTATTAAACTTTATTAAAAAAAGTTTTACTTACTTGCATGTTTCTCTAATCGTACTGATTGTGATTCTGTTGGCAAACTAACACCAACAGTATTTTCTGCTGAGATTCGGAAGATTATTTCATCTTTTTCCTTAATATTTTCAATACAATGTTCATGAACTGAACCACCTACGGTGACTATTTTAGTCCACGATTTTCCTTTGACTGTCTTAAATTCAATTATATAGTCTGAAATTTACATGAGAAGTATAGGTATTTAAATCAGTTATTTTTTAATGCATAAATGATTAACACTATACTTATTTTTTTTATTCTTTATTAAAGCCATACACCTATTAGGTTAAGTCGGCTACTATACGTATTAAAATGGAAAAAAATATTTAACATAATCACATATTTTTATTTATAATTTATATATCCGGATTTATAAGACGGGACATCATGCGTATACATCCTGTTTATAGCAATCGAGTCTGCGTTTTGCTTTGAAGGGATAGCTCTTTTATAAAGCAATTGAGATTTCGACCTCATGTCTCAAGGTGGGTTGACGACATCCAGATTGTCATGGCTCTGGCAACTATTGCCTACTAGGTGAACCATAAAATCCTCTGTCCACTTAGGGCATCAAATCATAAAACTAGTCTGAGTGATAATAGAAGTTGTTTTGAAAGGACTTAAAATACAGAATACCACTAAGAGGCTTATTTTTACTTTACTATCAACAGATAAGAGTGAATATGATTTATCTTTATAGACAGACAAAGACCAAATTAGGCCTTTTAAATATTTAGGATAATAAAAATACTCACTGGTAATTGGACTGCCGCCATTACTCTCTGGCTCTGTCCATTTTAGCGTTACTGATCGTGACGTAGACTCACTCACTACGAAATTCCGTGGCTGGGACGGCGGTGCTGAAAATTGGCATTTAAAATGTGATCAGTATCTAAAATGACAAAAGAAATTCGAATAAACACTTAAATTAACATTAACACTTACTTAGCGTTTTTCCAATTGTTATTTTGTCATCTGATGTGTACGGAAGACTCGTTCCGATTTCGTTTCTAGCGTATATTCTGAACTGATATGTAGTGTTTATCGATAACTTTTGGATTCTAGCTGTTGTTTCAGTAACAGTTGTGATGGTTTTCCATTTCTTCCCTTCTTGTTTTATTTCAACCTTGTAATCGATTATTGGTGATCCGCCGTTTTTCTCAGACGGGAACCATGTTATATACACGGATTCATTATCGATACCATACAAACCTAGTGGGCCCAGTGGCGGCGAAGGAACGTCTAAAATAAATGAATAATTTAAACATTCATAGTTTGTAATTTAACTAAAATGTTTGCCTGTTACTGAGCTTAACTAACATATTTTATTACTTAATTAGTGTGAGCTAGAATATAATAATTAACAGCTTCACTTTTTTCTAAGTTTGAGAATTAGAGGCCCGGAGGCCTTTCCAGTTTTACCAGGGCAGGTGGGCAAGCAATGGAGACCTAACAACTCAAGAATAACTGTTTCGCGAATCAATCTACTACCGGATCAGAATCGCGACCCGCTGAGAAGATCCGACGAGAAACTCAGCGGGCTGATGTTTAGGTTAGGTGACTTCACTTATAGCACTACCAAGGTAACATTACGTATAAATTAACATGACTTTCAGACAAATAAAAAAGACGGCTTGTCGATTTGATTCATATTAAGACATATTACAAAGTAATATGTCTTAATATGAAGATGAGTCATAAGACAGACTCATCTTCATCAACATTTTTTGGATCATTTTATGACACTATTTTGACACAACGAGATAAATGTATTTTAAAAAAAACCTCCTACCTAATGCAGTTTTTATAACAATCGGTTCACTTTCAAGAGCTTCCGAAAATCCAACAGGGTTTTGTGCTATAACGCGGAACATATATTCACAGTTTTCATTGAGTTTTTGTATGCAATATGTTTCGACGTCTCTGTCTACATCTGCCACTTTTATCCATCGATTATTATCGGGTTCATGTTTTTCGATGGCGTATTTTGTTAGCTCTAGACCTCCGTCATCTAAAGGTGGTTTCCATTCAATTGTAACTGATTCACGACTTATTTCGCGCATTATAACAGGGCCTTCTGGTTTACTAGGTTTATCTGAAATAGAAATTTAGAAATTAATCAAAACTTTTATTTTATTTAAGGATTACTGGTGGCCCGGAGGCCTTTCCAGTTCCACCAGGATAGGTGGGCGAGCAAAGGCTCAGCCAGAAGGGGTGGGATTTGCTAACAGCTGCCCGAGCGCCTCTGAAGGAGACCTAACAGGTCAAGAGCAGCTGCTTCGCGAATGAATCTACTACCGGATCGGAATCGGGACCCGCTGAGAAGATCCGGCGAGAAACTCAGCGAGCTGATTCATGGGTTAGGTTGCACGTCGAACTCTTTGTCGAGTTCGACAATCAAAACTGTTCAATTAAGAGATACTTACGATTGCATTAGTACTGACACTTTTTAAAATCTTTGAAGATGAACTACTTACCGTAGACCTTTAGTGTGACCTCAACTGAAGAAGTTCCAGCGGTATTGGAAGCTTCAATAGTATATTTACTTGAATGAGAGCGCTTCAATTCTTTAATTCGAATTACGCTAGTTTTTTCTTTTGTTGTTATATTATATTCTTTATCATTTTCTAATTTATTTCCATTCTTATACCATATTACTTCAGGTGGCGGTATTCCTTCTATTACAGCTGTTACCAACCATTCATCTCCAACTTTATGCTTCTGTTTGATATCCTCATTAGAAATGGTAATTACAGGTTTTTGTTGTATTCCAACGACGCAAGACGTTTCAACTTCTCCATGATCATTAAAAGCTATACATTTGTAGGTTCCAATAGTTGTTTCAGTTACAGTTACAACTAATGTTGCTACTCTGTTTTCATATGTTGCTTTAGCAGTTTTAAGTTTCTTTCCGTCTCTGTACCATGTAACCTTAGGTTGAGGAACTCCACCGAAAATACACGTTAGTTCAATATCCTCATTTGGTTCCGTTGTTATATTTTTCAATGGTTTTTCTACAGTCGGAGATTGGATTTTCGTTTCTTTTATTACTTTATAATATTCTGTTGTTTCTGAAGCATCACTAATGTCCACTTCATTTACGGCATAAGCACGGAATCTATATGAGGAGTTTGTTTTCAAGTTCTGAATAGAGGTTTGCGTTTTGGTTATATTTTTAACCGATATCCACCTGCAAAATTTAATATATTTAAATTATATACAGCTGTTGCAAAATTGCGCATTAACGTGAATGCACTTGCGTCACCCGCATTAACACCAATGACATGAATGAACTAGAATACTCGAAGAAATTTTTAAAACTAATGCGTTCTGTATTAAAACTTACTCTGTTGTATCAATTTCCTGATATTCGACAACATAGTATATGATAGTTGAATTTCCTGTATTTTCTGGTTCGTCCCAACATATGTTAATCGAACTAGAATCTATTTCTAAAATATTAGGTTTCCCTGGCGGAGATGGTTTATCTAAAAAAAAAGATAGAAATGTTCACAATTTTTAGGATTAAGAAAATTATGGAATATAAAAAATAAATTAATAAACATACCAAGTATTGTCACATTCATTTCAACATCAGCATGACCACAATTATTTTCAAGACGTAGTTTGTAGATACCAGCATCAGTGTTTTCTACTTTTTTAATTGTCAAGCTTGCCGATTTTGAATCTATACTTGGCTTAGTATGTTTACATTTCTTTATTATTTTAGAGTTTACGATCCATTCGTCATTTGGTTGTGGGAAAGCTTGATAGTCCACAAGTAGAGTGACGTCGCTTCCCCGTTTAATTCTATATTCTCGTTCATAATCAACAATTTTTGGAGGAAACTCAACCACTGCAATCAGGAAAAATATATTACAATTTTATTATTTTAATATGAATAGATAAGTAGAGTAATTTATGTAATAACAGTTCCAAAACGAAATACCTTCTACTTTTAATTTTGTAGAGCTCTTCGCATCGAGTAGTACACACGTATATTCGCATTGATCATCCTCTGTACATTTTCTTATAATTAATGTTCGCTTCTTTACATCTGATATTAGAGTGAACTTTTCAGTATCTTCGATTACGGATTTCTTTTTGTACCATGTTACATCTAATGTTTCATCAGGAATTTCAACTGTCAAATAGGCGTCTGTATTTGCTGGAACCAGTATAAATTCTGGAAGTCGCAGAGTAAAGTTGATAGAAGGTTCTTCTACTGTAAGTATCGCTGTGCATTTACTGTTTCCAACCTCACAAGAATATTCCCCTGCGTCATCTAAATCACAGTCGTATATCTTCAGTTTTTGTTTTTTACCATCTATGGTTAACTGTATGTGATTAGAAAATTGAATTTCAGAGCCATCTTTAAACCACCTCACTAGAGCATCGCCTTTGGTCAGCTCTATTTCAAATGTTGCTTTGTTACCTTTGTTTACCTTCTGATTTTGTAGGCGTGTAATGATTTCAGGGGGTAGTTCCACTACTGTTACTTCAGCAGTACAAGATTCGTCACGCAAAATGCATGAATATTCACCCTCATCATGAACAGAAGTGTTTCTAATATAAAGTTTGCGAATATGACCTCGTTTTTCAAAATCATATTTATTTTTCTTTGGTTTTATTATTTCGCCGTCTCTTTCCCATACGACATCAGCAGTTTCAGAATTAATTTCAACTTCCAAAATAGCTACGTCCTTTTCTTTAACTTCGAAGTCTTGAAGTTTTCGTATAAATTCAGGAATGGTTTCTTTTACAACTAACATTGTGCTTGTCTCTTGATCTTTTACGATACATTTTATAACACCAACATCAGTAAGCTTAGTTTTCTTTATTTTTAATTTATGAATTCTACCTTCCTGAATTATTTCTCTGTGGTCCATTCCACTAATTTCTTTTTTGTTGTGATACCATTTTGTAGAAACAGTATGCGATGTTTGACATTCTAAAATCACAGTTTTACCTTCCTCGGTTTCGTAAGATTTCTGTAGATGCTTAACGAATGTTACTTTCTCAACATCGATAGTGACTCGGGCTCCGTGAGATGATTTACCAGCACTGTTCGAGGCAACACATTTATAATCGCCTGAATCAATCTCTGAATCTACGTTTGTTATAACAAGCTCAATATTTTCACCGTCAAAGTTTTGAGTAATCGTTTCCGATGGGCTAATAATTTCATTGTTTCTATACCACGTTATTGATGGAACTGGATTCCCTGTTACTCTAGCGACTAATTTTATGGTACCCTTTTCTTTCACCGTGATTTCTTGGAATCGATTAATAAAAAGTGGGGGTTCAGCATTTTCCTCTGTTGGTTCTATAAAAATATATAAAATTATATGAATTAAAATTAAATCAATAAAGTAATATTAATATGGATTAAAAAGCGTCTAATAAGGTATCTGCCTTGATCTATAGTTTTTTAAAATTATTTTATAGTTTAATTAATTATGAGTAACATACCTTCAACAGTAATAACAGCACTGGTTTCCGCAATACCTTCAGAATTCTCAGCTTTTAATGTATAAACCCCTTCATCTTTAACTTTCTTTGGCTTAAGAATTGTTATACTGTGTGTATCACCATCTGATTTGGTTGGCAAGGCCTTAACAGGTTTATTATTTTTACACCAGGTAATTGTTGGTCGGGGATTACCAACCACTTGTGCTGATAGTATAACACTTTCACCTTGTCTAACAATCATGCTTTTTAGCGGCTCAATAACTTGAGGCGGTTCTTTTTCTCCCGTTTTAATTTTTAGAACAATAGGAAGACTGGCTTCGCCTTCTCTATTGACGGCCACCACAGTATAAGTACCCTCTTGGAATTTTTTAACATTTGTTATTTTTAGAACACTGCAGTACATGTGCATATCGGACTCTATGGCTACAGAGATATTTTCATCGGGTACTATTTCTTCGCCTTTGAATAACCACGCTATATCTGGCTCTGGTATAGCCACAAGTCTACATTCTAATAATATATCCGATCCTTCATCAACGTATTGTGCTTTTGGTTTTTTAGAAAAGGTTGGTGGTATCCCTTCCAAAATATCAGCCAACGATGATTCTCTAGATAAGCTTTTCCTTGATAATACAGTCATTTCAGAACCGTGATCAGAAAGAGGAGCTTCCACAATTAGTTCTGTAGTGCTGGAAGCAAATCCTGCCGCATTCTTCGCTACGCATGTAAAAGTACCGGCATCTTCAGGGAACACCTCACGAATTACCAATGTAGCCACGTTATCATCATCATAATACATTTGGAAATCCTGCGAAGGCTTGATTATAGCTGTTTGTCGGAACCATGTTATCTGTGGCCTAGGATAACCTTCAACTTGACATTCGAATTGCACTGTTGATCCATCGGGAGTATGTTTTGGACGTAATTTCTCAACAAATATTGGAGCCATGGATTGTTCTTCTGACGTCGGTTCTGAAAAACAAAAAAAGTTATAGAAAGACGGAAAATATTTACTATTTACGCTAGGTACCGTGTTATACTTTTTTTCTATTATTACCAGATTTTTACATTAAACGTTTGCGAAAAGAAGTAGTAGTAAGTACTTCTTTAGACAAATCGTTCAAAAAAGTTGTCGAAAAAAGTTGAATGAAAATACTAGTCATTAAAGCGTCAGAATTATAAATAATTAAAGAGGTATTCTAATATAGAAATTTGAAAAAGAATCTATACTAATATATAAATCTACAGTATTTTTTACGGATGTTCCGTTATAACTACTGAACCATGCATCCGATTTTTTTTTATTTTTTTTATTGCTTAGATTGGTGGACGAGCTCACAGCACACCTGATGTTAAGTGGTTACTGGAGCCCATACAAATCTACAATGTAAATGCGCCACCCACCTTGAGATATAAGTTCTAAGGTCTCAGGTATAGTTACAACGGCTGCCCCACCCTTCAAATCGAAACGCATTACTGCTTCACGGCAGAAATAAGCAGGGTTGTGGTACCTACCCGCGCGGACTCTCAAGAGGTCCTACCACCAGTAAACTGTGACTTGAAACTTGGTATTCTTAAAGAAAATACATGTACTTAATGGATAGGCTAATATTTATATGAGTGTTGGACTCCCTACACCAATTGCGGGGGCGTTAATGATGAGAATATTTGTGGGGGTGAGAAATAATAATGTTATTTTTAAATGCCCAGCGAAACGGACGGGTACAGCTAGTATTTTTATATATTCGAATGTTAGACCTTTAAGAATACGAATATCCTTCAAATGAATTTTTAACATCGAATCCTAGATCTTTTTCCACCCACTTTACCAATATGACCAAAATATTGCAGTACCTACTCTGTGTAGGTGGATTATGGTGGGAGGCCTCTATTCAATTAGTATGATTACCATTTGTCTTAATAAATTTTTCATGTAGAATTTAGTATTCTAGGAATCGTATAAGCATTGACGATTAGAAGCAGCCGAAACGAGCGATTAATCAAGACTGGCTGGAGTTGCCCGGTATTCTTAATCATTATGTTCTTCAAAGTACAGATCCGCCGTAAAGCTGATAAGTATCATTTGGTAAGAATATGTGATGAATTATACCGGCACTTAAACCACGACCATTACTATTTACAGTAAGTTTTCGTTAAGCTTAAGTTAAGTTTGGGGCATTGTCTAGGTACAGAATCAAGGTCTAACCAACACGGTGACCGCTTACGACTATCAAAAAGAAACTACTGGTGGTAGGTACTGGTGGGAGGACCTGTTGTGAGTCCGCGCGGGTAGACACCACCGCCCAGCCTATTTCTGCCGTGAAGCAGTAATGCGTTTCGGTTTGAAGGGTGGGGCAGCCGTTGTAACTATACTGAGATCTTAGAACTTATATCTCAAGGTGGGTGGCACATTTACGTTGTAGATGTCTATGGGCTCCAGTAACCACTTAACACCAGGTGGGCTGTGAGCTCGTCCACCCATCTAAGCAATAAAAAAAGATATAAAAAAAATTCATTCATCGCAAGCGATACTGCGATACATAATCCGTTCGTTTCTGTATCTGTTATGCAACATAAAATGATTTACACTTTTCTTTCGGGTCGCTCGGCCGAACCTCCTACGGGATTTCTCTCTAGACATATTCTCTAGACCCCTGTCTTATAGTCTTCTAGGTCTTCTAGTTTTCATCAATAAACAATTCAGCAATTACCAACATTCTTTTAAAATTCGTTTTCATATAGCCAATTGATCATACGTGATACCTACATGGATAAAAAACTACTAAGCTAATATTTACTTACTTTCGAAAACAGGTAGTTTATCTATTTTCTCGTTCAATTTTTTCTGCAGATATTGCGTGTAATTATTTTCATCCATGAGATATTGTGCAGGTACCCAGCCTTTCTCTTCCGTTAAATGTTTTTGTACGTACCACCAATCTTGATTGGAAGTGTCTGTCAGGGAAGTAAAATTACATTATATACAAAATATGAACAGCACTATTCATAAAAAACATTCTAATATGGTTAATCTACAACAAACTGATTTTATATTTCCTACAATATAATATATTTTTTTTCCTGCCTAAGCTGATAAGCTTGATAGGCTATGTCAGCGTAACCTTCGCAGAATCTACCACCGGATCGAAAACGCGACCCGCTAAGAAGATCCGGCGAGAAACTCAGAGGGCTGTGTCCGTAGGTTAATTTGCTCGGCGAGATCTTCGTCGCAAGCCACGGGTTCGACGAGAACGATGACCGGAATAACTTCTGCGTATCATTTCTAGTAAGTGTTAAGAATATGTTAACAATGGTACCTACACCAATACGTGCAACGGAAATGGATATTTGAATATTTATAATTTAGTTAGTCAACTACAAAAAAAAAGTTATAGATGTAATATCGTTCGAAATTTCGTACTTCACCGTTCTATTTGTCAACGTAAATAAACATGTAAATAATATAACCTTTGTGTGCCAGATAAATGTTTTACACCTGTTTATTTTTTTACCTCCTGTATTACCGAATGGTCTAGCGCTTTGTTTTTTTTTTTTTTGAATACCCAATTAAATAGACCACTCTTAACGATAAGACCGCCAATTGTACTTTTTTGTATTCAATGTTTTGCATTGTTTGTTTTGTTGGTGTACAATAAAGAATACTTTCTCTCTCTCTCTCTCTAAATATTCTCCATCATCGTCATTATCAGGCTATGACTTGGAGAGCTTCAAGTTAGTAACGAGCTTGTATATTTTGGCACGGGCTGTATTTTCCCATTTCAAAGTGTTCCCAAAAATAATAATACCAGCTTCGCTACAGTTCGTATAGCACGAAGCGCGTCTGAATTCGAATGTGAAGTCGACTTAATCGTTGTTATTGTTTGTAGAATTATATGCACAACTTAAGTTTCTAAATAAAACAAAGAAGAAATTCTAAAATAAGCTATATACCATTCTATACCTATACTATTTCTATTTGGGATTCTAGCTACGGTAATTACTAACCAAGGATATATAGTCGTTCGCCCTCAACAAGATTTATAGCTTCATCAGTTTCTGCCACGTACGAATATACAGCAAATACTGTGTCACCACAGCGGACTTCAACGGGCGTATCTGAAATAATCATCAACGTGAACAATAACATCATACGATCGTTACACAAGTAAATCGTTAAAATGTTAAAAAATCTACGTCTGAGTAGAGGCATTTGTACTGGGTCAGTTAACTTTGTAAATTTAAAGTAAGCTAAATATAATTATTTTATGTGTTATGGTATCACTACGTAGACTGCTGAACATAGAACTTATCAGAAGATCAGAAAAACCGGTTGGAAGCGGTTTGTAATCGATGTACCGTATTCGTGCACAATCTTGTTTATTTCCTTTGAAGACAGAATAGCGCACAGTAAACTTAATGGTTAGAGGTTCGTCGCATTTGGATATATAGGTAGCGACAAGGGTACAACCAACTCGCTACACTCAATTAACGACTCCTTTATATATATTTTTTTTAAGTTACTAACATAGATTATAAGTAATTACTATTAACAAAATGTTATGGTTTTAAAAAAAAAACTGAAATAAAGTATTAATAATAATAATAATAATTTATAACCAAGTTTGAGGAAAGACGAAATTTTCTATTAACGAGGTAGCTATTGTAATAGCTTTAATTGTAATAGCTCTGTCCATACTAATATCGCACTTATGCTAGAGGTCATTGGTTTGAGATTTGTTTTATATAGAAACATGTTATCAGTTTTGAAAGAAATACCTAGCTTTTATTTATTTTATTATTTTATCTGACGTCACAGATACAAGTACTCAATATAAGTCCATTGTTTACTTGTATCTGTACATTAACTACATAGGTTAAAAACATTTCATCTTGTTTAGCTGTGAAAAATAAAATTCAGAAAGTACCTGGGAATTCTTGTTCTCGCGAAATACTCATCGTCGCGTCAGCTTCTGCAAGAAAAGCAGCAAAAAATTACAACAGTTGATTCTATTTATTCTATAATAAATAAACAAACCTCACAAACGGTAGAAATGAAGCCTTCAAAAGCAATACCTTTCATGGGCATGGATTAAAAAAAGTTGCGATTTTAAGATTTATGAAACCAATTTTAGAAACTAATTTTAAATCACTGTATTTATTATTAAATAGTTAGTTGAATATGTTAGTTAGTTGAAAACGCTTTTCAAGGTGTTGACATCATCAGTGGCATAAAGAAACGGGAGCCGTTGCTATTAGACATTTTAACCTTTGACGTGGTACTCCCTTCCTCTTTCTGTCAGTGTCATTCATTTAATAAAATATTATATTTTTTACACAGCCTAAGTATGTACAATTTCTGAAAACATTTTTGGATTATTACATATCGTATTGACAAAAAAGTATTAAAACTGCATAAGTAATTATTACCTTCATATTTGGAATTGAAATTAGAAAAGGGTTTTGAGGTTATCAAAAATATTTTATTAAAAAAAACATCAAAACTGACATTTACGTATACACAGAGTATATAAAAATATAGGCTAAATAATCTCTTGGATTTTTTTTTTTAAGTCGCCGTAGCCTAAAGGATAATACGTCCGGTGCATTCGTATCTAGCGATGCAACGGTGTTTGAATCCCGCAGGCGGGGGTACCAATTTTTCTAATGAAATACGTACTTAGCAAATGTTCACGATTGACTTCCACGGTGAAGGAATAAGATCGTGTAATAAAAATCAAACCCGCAAAGTTATAATTTGCGTAATTACTGGTGGTGGGACCCCTTGTGAGTCCGCACGGGTATCACCACCCTGCCTATTTCTGCCGTGAAGTAGTAATGCGTTTCGGTTTGAAGAGCGGGGCAGCCGTTGTAATTATACTAAGACCTTAGAACTTATATCTCAAGATGGGTGGCGCATTTTACGTCATAGATGTCTATGGGCTCCAATAACCACTTAACACCAGGTGGGCTGTGAACTCGTCCATCCATCTAAGCAATAAAAAAATCAATCATGACGTTATTTTAGGACAAATAAAGATCAAACGTGTTTGATTAAAATTTAAGAATATAATTTCTGATAATTTTTTCTAATTCTATAATCAGTTAGAATCTTCAAAATTGTTTTTCTATCAAATAAAAAAAAAGATGTGTCCATTATGTCACAAGTACAGCCTAAAGAGGTTTATATATTTTGTGTATTGTGTATGTTTGAAATAAATAAGGATAATTTGGAACAAGAGCAAGTAAATTTAATGTTATAATTCATACTTGATGCAGAAAGAAAGTAATGCTACTCCTTAATATTTGGGGGAAAATCTAGTCTTTGTTTTATATTTTTTATATAGGTGAGGTCGATCGAGTAATTTTAATTTGTCAATTTATGCAGATAGTCAAAATAATAGTCATTTACATTATCTAGCCACCATAGCTTAGTTGAAAAACAGCAACACAGTTTTTTTTTTTTCGTTAATCAACCAAATGTTTAATTATTGTCTCTTGTCTGTGTTTTCAACGTAGCTTGAAGGAAATTTAAAAGTAAGTAAGACACAGTTTTTTTATTATACAATTTATAATATATTGGCAATAAGCATTACAAGCGACAATGTTATTTGCGTAGTCTGGATTCATTATTTTAAATTTAAAAGCGTGATCCAAAGCTATTGTAAAATAAATACCTTGTATTATAAGAGACTTTGGTTTTCGTTTTGTTGAAATAGTAAGTTCACCTTCATTATTTTCATCCTTCATTTGTTTTGGTTTGAATTCGACGCTTAGTTCTTCCACTTCGCTTATTTCGTATGTTGGTTTTTTCGGTTTTCTTTTTATAATCATTTCGATGTTTTCTTCAGTGTCACCATCACTCATGATAATTTCTTCAGGTTGACTTTCATCATCAATTTCCTTATGGATTTGCAACAAAGTTTCATCTGCAGCTTCTATAATTGACATTTTCTTTTTCGGCTTAACTTTAATATTGCTTGAAAAGGTAGTAACTTCGGTAGCACGAGGTTTTACTTCAAATTGCACTTCATCTTGGTCATCTACGATGTACTTTGGCTTTTTCTCTAGTTCAATACATACAACTTCGGATATTTCATTATCGTTTTGTAGCTTAGGTTTAGATAAAGTCACTACAGATTCAACGGTTTCTAAGACATTCTTAGTTTCAAGCTTTTTCTTGAGCGGTATCATAATGTTGGCTGATTCTGATTCTTCTTTTTCAACGTCACTGTCTACTATTTCAATTATTTCTGGACTTTCGTCTTGGCCTTTCTCATAAAATTGAATAGATGTTTCAGCATCTTCTTCTTTAAATGTCAGTTGTTTTTGAGGCTTTAGTTTTACTTTGCTTGACATTGAAATTTCTTCTTCAGCATAAGAGTCTAACTGGATGTTAAATTCCTGCTCCACATCTTCTTTGGTTTTCGTAATTTTTGGCCTAAATGTTACTACTTCAGGTTCTGTTATTTCAGGTAAAGTTACAGAAGATTTTCGAACGGGTTTCAATCTCTTTTTAATAGTTACTTCATCTACTATCTCATCAATCTTTTGTGCGCTTGATTTTCTAGGAGTTATAGTATACTGTTCAGGCACATCTTCTTTAGGCAATTCCTCAAGAGTTTGTTTTTCTTGAATAATTTCATTTTCATCTTTTTTACTTTCTACAATGTCTTCATAACTAAATAACGGTTGTTCTAATTCTGTTTTTTCTACATCGGGCAATTTTGGAGGTACGAACACTTGTTTTTTAACTTTGGCGGCCTCTTTTATATTTCTCGATAAAATTCCATTTTGTTTTATGCTACCCATGTATGAAATAAGAGGTTTGATGGATTCAGGGGGCCAGCTAGTAATATATTTAATTCTGCTTTTTAATTGAAATTTAGGTAATTTAACAAGGCTAGTTTCCTTTTTGGGTTTTACTGCAGTTTTCTTCAATTTAGGCAGGGTGAATTGAGGCCCATCTACAGTTTCTGCGTGTTGTGGTGTACTTACTTCCATTTCTTTTCGCTCTATTTTAATAGGGGTGAGTTTAGATCTCTTGTTAAATGAAGTAGGAGTTTGTGAAGTTTCTTTATCATCAGGAACATTTATTTTTTCTGGTACTTCATTGTCAATTTCTGATGTTTTTGCAATTGGTTGTTCGGATTCTTCTATTAGTTTTGGTTCGCTTTTCGCTTCTTCAATTATATTTTGGGGCGGTTGACTCACATCTGGTTTTGATTCATCCTCTTGGGAATCAAATAAGTCCGATTTTTCCAATGTCACTCTTTCTAAGTCGGGAATTTTGGGCAGTTTCAGCTTTTTCTTTTTGATTTTATTTGCTTCTTTTACGTTTCTCGATAACTCTCCATTTTGTTTAATACTGCCTAGATAAGTAACTATTGGTTTCATTTCTTGAGGTGGCCAGTCTCTTATGAATTTAATGCGACTTTTTAGTTGGAATTTAGGAAGTTTAACAACTGCAGGCTCTTGTTTAGGTAAAACAGAAGATTTTTTTAGTTTCAGTTTAGAGAATTGCGGCACGGTCATTTCTTCTGGATGCTGAGGTTTACTACTTTCTAGTTCTTCAATTTGAAGTTTTCGGAGAATTGGTTTATCTTTACTTTTTTTATTATTTAATAATAACTTTGGCTCAGATTTTTGTTCTTCCGGAGGTATAATTTTGTCCTCGCTGGAATCACTCAGAACTTCTTTTTCATTACTTTTAGGTTTCATTACTTCTGTTATAGGTTTAAATTCAGCATCTGCAAAAGAAATAATAAAAATAGATTCTAAAATTCTAAAAAAAGACCTATGTGGATATCTGGTGCTATATAGTTTTAGCAATGTTTATCACATAAGTAATCACAAAAAAATGTTCTAGTTTCATTTTAAAATAATAAATACATTTATAAATATTCCAATCCACTAACATTGCACTTATGTCATAAATTTTGTTGAATACTGGTAGTAAGCTTAATATTTATAAGACATATTTTAAATATAGTAGAAATCACTCATACAATAATAAAACAATATTTTTTATGTCTAGATATGTTTTAGATTAAATGTAATTAAAAATATTGTGGTTGCTGAAACAACATAATATGTATCTTAGATTGTTAACTTCGAAAGTATTCAGTCCTTTGCATTTAGCTTATCTACAGGTTTCATATAAAATATTTGTTAATATATTTTGAAAAGAGTTACTCCGTGCCTTACGAACTTGTGGGATACTTGTATTCCTACTTGCTATTCCTACTACTACTATCTAGATTAGAGCTTTCTTCTTTTTTATTCTCTTTTTTCGTTTGTTCGATAATTTCTCTGATATCTAAGCTTGAACACAAGTGGGCTCAGTGAAGCTGTCCTTGGTGACTTTATACAATACTAGTCAGAAAGATTTTCATGGTGTTCGACAATTTATAATACATACACTTACATAATAATACATATATACCGCGATACAAGCCACATCATAGCTGCTGATAAATAACTAAATTCATGTTCATAGGCTGAATTGGAATGTCATTTTTTTCTTTGCAATTTTTCCAAAATTTATTGCATGAATTATTTAATAGTTAAGAAACGCCTACCCATAACCTTAGTGATTGAACCTATATGTTGAAAGGTATATGATTCTCAAAAGATAATCATCCTTTAAAATTAAACATTAGATTAAGGCTTAAATTGTGGTTGATCTTCGTAAATCAAGGCCAAGTAATTGGTTTAATTATTAGTTAAGATTTTAAATGAACTATACTCATTTTGTTAATTTGTCATTTCTCAGTTTTTTTTAATAAATCATCATCAGTAAATATATGACGCGTAAGATGTGTGTTAATATCATTTGTGTGTATTTTTTATGTTGAATAACTATAGAATGTAAAGCTTTGAAAGTGTATAATCTTTTGTATATAAGTTTGAGCATGTTCGGTTGCTACTTTGTATTATTATTTTTAATTTCCTACTCGTCGGCTACGTCCTCAGGTTAGAGCTCCGTGAGCTCACCTACTCGGCCGTTTAGACTGGCATAACCGCCTAGGTTACCAGCTTAGTTAGAAAAATAAACAAACACAACGATTTTCTTTTCTTTTGGCTCAATTTCTTCTATGGCCATGTCCCTAAAATTATTCCACAAACGATAGATCATAATATAAAAATATTTGAAGAATTCTATTCTATTAAAATAATTTCAATTTAAGTGTATATTTTAGGATAAGTTTCTTAATAGGATGAATGTTTAATTAATGTTTCTTAATTCATGATTTTGCGTACTAATAAGAACAGCAATGAACTAAATGTTACTTCTTTTTATATATTAGCTTGTCGTTGTGACGATTATAAGGCAAAAGTGGGGGAGTACAAAATTGCAGTGAAACGGTAGTAGGATCCCACGGTTTTGGCATTAGGGATCATAGAGAACAAATGCTGATCAACTTCCTTGAGAAAGAGTGGTTGTTTTTAATGAATTCATTCTTTAAGAAGCAGCCCTAAAGGAAATGGACATGGCAAAGCCCTGACACCAAAACAAAAAATGAAATAGACATGGCAAAGCCCTGACACCAAAACAGAAAATGAGATCGACTTCATCATAGCGGAAAAAAGCATATATTCAGGGATGTCTCTACCAGTAGCTATCACAGGCTCTAACGAGGTTCTCTGAATATCGACTTCAAGCTCGAACGTGTCCGTTTGACGAATTCCAGGCTCCGACCTAGCCTACTGTAGACTTATAGCAGGATCTGAAATATTTCAGTCAAACTTGGAGAACCAATTCGTGCCATGGAAACCACTAATATCGTTGACAAGACCCTCGAAAATGTGATTAGAATCCTCAGGGAAGAAGTTTCGAGGTTTTGTGAAATACGGCGTACCGGCGGAAAGGCTAAACTTTCGGATGAAACTCGGGGTTTTATGAGAGAGCGACGTGAAAATCTACCTGTCACTTTATCAGAATACCTTGCACTCAACAAAAAAATTAACAAACTGGTACGATACGACCTTCGATGCTCCAATACACGCTCTATAGAGAGACGATCGAGCAAAATCGGGGGTCGAAAGTATCATATCAAATCTTTGAGGAGGGAGCCACTGAACGAAGTTGACCACATCCAGTGGACGAGTCGTTACTTCTAAGCCTGAGATTTTGCCTGAGATTCAAAACTTTTATAGCGATTCAAGAGCTACTTTGATGCGCCACTTTACCGAAAACTTGCCGGAAATTAGCCTTAGCGAAATTGGGATGGCTCTTGGACAGCTTAGGGACGGAAAAGCGCCCGGAGAGGATGGAATTACGACTGAGCTTCTGAAAGCAGGTGGCGCACCTATATTGAAGGAGCTCCAAAAAATCTACAACTCAGTCCTTTTTAGAGGTAAAACTCTAGAGGTGTAGGCTAGGAGCGTGGTCCTCTTGTTTTTCAAAAACTGTGACAAGAGCCTGTTGAGAAACTATCGCCCCATATCCCTCTTGAGCAACATTTACAAGTTGTTTCCAAGAGTCATCACAAATCGTCTCGCGCGGAGACTCGACCTATTTCAGCCACCGGAGCAGGCTGGGTTTTGAGAAGGATACAGCACCATAGACATGCACTCAATAAGGCAGATTATACAGAAGACCTACGAGTATAATCAGACCCTGTGCTTACCTTTGGTGGGCTATGAGAAGGCTTTTAACTCTATCGAAATCTGGTTAGTTCTAGAATCCTTGTAGCGTTGCCAAGTAGACTTGCGACATAACCAAGTGATGAAATGTCTTTACAGCGCCGCGACTATGACCGACCAAATCCAGAACCAGGAGTCCTGAACACATCTCTCAAAATATTCATAATTCTCAAATAGTTAGCTCAAATTTAAGACTCTTCTAAGCGCATCGGTCTCCGAATGAACTTGGATAAAACTAAGATCATGTTTGACCAACATGTTCAGCCAGAACCGATTGGCGCATATGGTAGTTCTCTCAAAGTTGTTCAAAAATATGTTTACCTCTGGCACACGTTACAGCTAGGTAAAAACAACTTCGAGAACGAGGCCAACAGACGAATATAGCTGGCCTGACGGCGATTGGGAATTTACGTCGAGTATTTTCGTTGTCTATTCCACAGAGTCCAAAGACGACAGTCTTCAATTAGTGCGTTCGGCCTGTCATGAAATACGGAGCGGAAACGTAGATACTCACGGTTGGGCTGATCTACAAGCTTAAAGTCGCTCAGCGAGCTATAGACATAGCACAGCAAATTAGTTAGCTGAGGTGGCAATGGGCTGGCCATGTTAGCCGGACAACCGATAGCCATTGGGGTAAGCGCGTTTTTGAATGGAGACCGCGAATTAGAAAACGCAGTGCAGGACGCCCTCAGGCTCAGTGGAGTGATGATCTGTGAGGGTGGCTGGTAGGAGCTGGATGGGAGAAACCGAGGATCGTGCTCAGTGGCGAGCAATTGGGGAGGCTTATGTCTAGCAGTGGACAACTATAGGCTGATGATGATGTTGTGACGGCTTGGAAGCTACACATTTCTCTGTTAACATGTGTATTGTGAATTTGCTAAGGTTAATAGCTAATTGAGTAGTTTGTGGTCTATGAATATCAAAACGGCGTCTGCTGTGCCTTACACAAATTTTCTCACTTCTAAAAAGTATATTTGTACTATTTCATTAAAAAAACTGTTTATGTCAATTGATGATGATTTAAATAGTTTTAATTGAAGGCCCTACCTACTACACCATTCCAAATTTATGTTTCAACTTACCTTCTTTTATTTCAATTTCCTTATAGGTTACTTACAAATTTATTGTGTCTTTGTATCTTCCAGTGTCGACTCTTTAATAATAGAGACGTAGAGAATGGGTAAATCAATATCATGCAGTAGGTACTGGGGTGTTTTACTCACTTCTATCTGTCGGCCCTATTTTTTTTTAAATCGCGCTTTGTATCTTTAACGGTTTAGACGTCAATTTTCTCAGTTTTGACTTGTGTAATGTGTACTTTCTCAGGGACTTCTTCAACGACCTGTGCAGTATCTGGTGTGATATCTGAGAGTGGTGTAGTTGTGTCATCTATGAGTTCCTCTGTGGTTTGAACAGAAACGACTGGTTGTTGGTCGTCTTCTTGTTCAGTGGTGATTTGTGTAGTTTCGATTTTAGGCCCTACCCGTTTTTTAATAGTACGCTTTGTGATTTTCTTTTGTTTTGGCTTACCTTCCGGTGTCTCAGTTTCCTCTACAGTCACCTCTTCAGGCAACTCAACAACTTCTTCTGGCTTGCTCTCTTCGGGGGTAGTTTCTTCTACCACAGTAATCGTTGTAATCGGGGCCTCGTCGTCTTTTTGGACTGTAGTGATTTCAGTGACTTCCCCTTTCGGTCCTTTTTTCTTTTTTATAACGCGCTTAGTGGTTTTAACGGTTTGGACATCGCCGGTTTCGGTTTTGACTTGTGTAATGTGTACTTTCTCAGGGGTTTCTTCGACGACCTGAGCAGTGTCTGGTGTAATGTCTGAGAGTGGTGTAGTTGTGTCATCTATGAGTTCCTCTATGGTTTGAACAGAAACGACTGGTTGTTTGTCGTCTTCTTGTTCAGTGGTGATTTGTGTAGTTTCGATTTTAGGCCCTACCCGCTTTTTAATAGTACGCTTTGTGATTTTCTTTTGTTTTGGCTTACCTTCCGGTGTCTCAGTTTCCTCTACAGTCACCTCTTCAGGCAACTCAACAACTTCTTCTGGCTTGCTCTCTTCGGGGGTAGTTTCTTCTACCACAGTAATCGTTGTAATCGGGGCCTCGTCGTCTTTTTGGACTGTAGTGATTTCGGTGACTTCCTCTTTCGGTCCCTTTTTCTTTTTGATAACGCGCTTAGTGGTTTTAACGGTTTGAACATCGCCGGTTTTGGTTTTGACTTGTGTAATGTGTACTTTCTCAGGGGTTTCTTCAACGACCTGAGCAGTGTTTGGTGTAATGTCTGAGAGTGGTGTAGTTGTGTCATCTTTAAGTTCCTCTGTGGTTTGAATAGAAACGACTGGTTGTTTGTCGTCTTCTTGTTCAATGGTGATTTGTGTAGTTTCGATTTTAGGCCCTACCCGCTTTTTAATAATACGCTTTGTGGTTTTCTTTTGTTTTGGCTTACCTTCCTGTGTCTCAGTTTCCTCTACAGTCACCTCTTCAGGCAACTCAACAACTTCTTCTGGCTTGCTCTCTTCGGGGGTAGTTTCTTCTACTACAGTAATCGATGTAACCGGGGCCTCGTCGTCTTTTTGGACTGTAGTGATTTCGGTGACTTCCTCTTTCAGTCCCTTTTTCTTTTTGATAACGCGCTTAGTGGTTTTAACGGTTTGAACATCACCTGTTTTGGTTTTGACTTGTGTAATGTGTACTTTCTCAGGGGTTTCTTCAACGACCTGAGCAGTGTCTGGTGTAATGTCTGAGAGTGGTGTAGTTGTGTCATCTATGAGTTCATCTGTGGTTTGAACAGAAACGACTGGTTGTTT